CTTTTCTATTGGGATGCCTTTTACGTCTTTCTCTTGCCTAATTGCTTTGGCTAGAATTTGCAGTGTCATGTTAAGCAGAAGTTGTGAAAACAGACACTGTCATCTTCTTCCTGATCTTAGGGAAAGCATTCACCTTTCACCACCATAATGTTAGCAGTGGGTTCTTCTTGCCTATGACATTAGTCATGTTGAGGAAGTTTCTCTGCATTTCTAGTTTGTTGAATGCTTTTATCGTGATAGTGATGGCGAGTTTTGTTAAACGCTGTTCCTGCATCAATTGAGCTGGTCATGTATTATGTTCTTAATCACTGCTTATAGTCAAATTTGTAATGCTCTTGTCTGTGTTCCAGTAGTTTCATCAGTACATGGAACGAAGAAATCAAACCTGTGCTTTAGCATTTATCCTTCTGGGACTCTCGGAAGAGGCAGAGCTGCAATCACTACTCTTTTTGCTGTTCCTGGTCATGTACCAGGTCACTGTCATTGGAAATTCTCTCATAATTGTGGCTATTATCACTGACTCCCATCTCCACATACCCATGTACTTGTTCCTCTCCAACCTGTCCTTTTCAGACATCTGTTTAACCTCCATCACAATCCCAAAGATGCTGCTAAAAATGCAGACACAGAGCAAAGTCACAACCTATGAAGCCTGCCTAACCCAGATGTATTTTTTCTTGGTTTATGAAGGATTAGACAACTTCCTCTTGACCATGATGGCCTATGACCGGTTTGTGGCCATCTGTCACCCCCTGCATTACACGGTCAGAATGAGCCCTACATCCTGTGGTTTCCTGTTTCTGGCAACCTGGTTATTGAGTGTGCTGACATCTTTGTTACAGGGATTAATGGTTTTGAAACTGTCTTTTTGTGCAGAGTTGGAAACCTCTCACTTTTTCTGTGAGCTGAATCAGGTGGTTTTCCTTGCTTGTTCTGACACCTTCCTCAATGACCTTGTGATGAATTTTGCAACAGGATTTCTGGGTTTCATTTCACTCACTGGTATCCTTTTTTCTTACTCTAGGGTTGTAGTCTCCATTTTGCAAATTTCATCAGCTGGAGGCAAGTATAAAGCATTTTCCACCTGTGGGTCTCACCTTTCAGTTGTTTCCTTATTCTACGGTACAGGCCTTGGAGTGTATCTTAGTTCTGCTGCTACCCAAAACTCCAAGGTAAGTGCTATAGCCTCAGTGATGTACACTGTGGTCACACCCATGCTAAACCCATTTATTTATAGTATTAGAAACAAGGGTATAAACCATGCCCTAGAAAAACTGTTCAGGTGAAAAATATTTTTTGCATACAGGCTACTTTGTTTCAGGCTTAAAGAGTTACTCATGAGTAAGAAGACTCTAAACCCTTGAAGAACTAAATTATGATACTATTTCCAGTTTGGAGAAAGGTAATTTGCATTGACCTTATTTACAGTTCAATCTCTTTATTTTTTATACATTATAGACCACTGTTTCTTCAGTATTTCCTTTAAAAATATTTTGACCTTCCTCCTCATCTTCTGTGGGGGCAGTCTATAAACAAAGTTTAATGCATATATACATATATTTTTTTTTT